GAGAGAGAGAGAGAGAGAGAGAGAGAGAGAGAGAGTCTTACCTATATAATCAAGTGTTACCTATCCAAGTAAGTGTTACGCATCCAAGAGTAATCCATTCAAGAGTTACTAATCCAAGTAAGAGTTACCCGTCTAAGTGTCACCAATCCAGGTAAGTGTTACCCATTTAAGTGTTACCAACTTGACGCTCATACGACCTTATGCATTTGTGAGCGCCATAAAACCTCTACTAATAAATTTTAATATATAAGTGTTACCAATCCAAGTAAGTGTTATCCATCCAAGATAGAAAAAATAGAATAGATCACACTTTTATTTGTCCCAGAAGGGCACTTTGGTTTACAATGGCAAACATACATACACATAGATCTACATACAATATATAATTATAAATACATACATACACAAATACGTGCAGAAATACATTATATAAGTACACAATATTACACACAAATACAGAACAGTTTACAACCATGCCACTGTCGGTCGCCACAGTGCAGCGCCCTGTATTTTGAGCTAGGCTAGGGTTGTCGTGTCTTGCTCAAGGACACACCCCCTGTGACCACCCATCTGATCCCCGTGTCACCGACACTTGCTTGACATTACTTGAGTCTGAACTCACTGCTCACTTTGCCACTGGAGCCCCATCCAAGCGTTACCCATCCAATTAAGTGTTACTCATCCAAGTATGTGTTACCCACCAAAGCATTCAGCCGTACCACATTTTACCTTGACCATGAAAAGACGATCGAGTCTGCGAAAAGGAATCCACGTGCTGCCCGACAGTACTCCAGCACACAGAGTGGTGAAGGAAACTCAAGACAGAAAAGCAGTATGACTACGAAATTCTACCCCACGCACCCACCCTCTTCACCAGATAAAGGACATTCTAACTTTTTCCTTTATCCAAATCTGAAAATAGGTCACATATTATTATGACGACGTTTTGATAGTGAAGAAGATGTTGTATTTGCACGGAAGGAGTGATTTGAGCCCTATCCGAAGTCATATTATGTTCAAGTACTTTTGAGGGGCAAACAAAGTTGGCAAAAGTGTCGCAGTTTGCAGGGAGTCTATGTAGAGAAGTGGCATTCTGAAAGTTAAATTTCAACTCTCTAGCTTGCGCCTTCTTCAGTCAGGGCAAAGACTTATTAAACACCCTTCGGAAAGTGAATGTGCAGAGTTATCAAAAACACGCACATAGAGTTTTTTTGTTGGTTTGAAAGTTTCCACTTTTCATCGATCGATATTCTTACTTTTGTTTTTAGATCAAAGTTTATTTATTTATTTATTTATTTATTTATTTATTTATGATGCATACTTTGCATGCGCATGTATCCATTCATTTCTCTATCAGTCTATTTCTCTATCTAT